TATTGTTATTATTTACATGATTATAAAAAGTTTTTGTACCCGCGTCAATAACGTTACCGTGACCCACATATTCACCATTTTTATTAATTATGAAATGTGGATTAAATTCTTCAAAACCAGTTTTGAAGCATTGAGACAACACCCCCTTATGATTTAAACTAAAACTGAAAACATTCCATTAGACTTTCATTAGTTTGTGCAAAATATATTACCCAGGGTAACGCGTCTTGGATTTGGTGGGTATAGCTGTTCAACTCTCCTGTGTGCCCTAAAAAGGGCAGCTGCTGTTTCCCTTTTTATGAAATGATAAACTGTGATGGTGTAGCTATCACATCGCAAAATTACAGCTTCCCAGAGAAAGTTTGAAATTTTCGGTCAAATTCAACATTTTGTAACCACTAGCAAAGAATGACAGATATATAATTCTTCTTGTGGGCATATTACTGGCAGGAAAAGCAGATTAATAAATTAAATTGTGATTCGAGATAAAAAAAAAAAAAACTCATTAATCTAAATTGTATGTTGGTTTTGTTTTCTAGGTGCTGAGAGCACTGAAGTATATCGACAACACAAATACAGTACAACTGAAAGGGAGAGTGGCTTGTGAACTGGGCAATCAGGAGATCATTATCACTGAACTGGTGTTTGAGAACATCCTGACGGATCTCCATCCCACCGAGATAGCCGCCTTGTTGTCCTGTGTTGTGTTTGAACAGAAGAGGTGCAGTGAGCCTAGCCTTACACCAGACTTACAGAAGGTATACATCACTTGAGTTCTATGTACCAGTCTTAAGAATTTGCCTTTTCAGACTTAGATTTAGATGGTTCCAGGTCTGGCTTTGGGGGCATTGCTATATGACAGGCAAATGAATGTTATGGTAATTCAGCTCTCACCTCTGTTACAATTCGCTATAGATATTTTTAGACCTAAGTACTTCTGGGGTAACTTTTTTTCCCTTTTCTCCTTTTGCCTATTTGAAAAATTTTCTTCATTGCTGTACCTACTGTTTTGTTTCAGGGCAAAGACTTGATTCTGAAAATAGCTACTAGTATTGGTGAAACTCAGAGAGCCTGTGGGTTACTGACCCCAGTGGACGAGATCGTGGAAAGCCTCAAGTTTGGACTGACAGAGGTTGTGTTTGAATGGGCACGAGGCATGGTAAGATGGTGTTCTTAATGGGCCTTTGATTTTTATGTACAGACACAGATGTGTCTGTACATATAGCCATCACCTGCGTCTGTCGTCGCCGTCGCCGTCGCCGTCGCCGTCGTCGCCGTGCACTTTTATCGATAACACGATAAGTGGAAAACTGTTTTTCATTTCAGCTTGAAACTTACAGAATTGATAAATATTTATAATACGCAGGTCAAGTTCGAAAATCAGCATGATCGGGTCACTTGTAGGGAAGTTATGCTGTTTTTTCACTTTTTTCAGCATATATGCAGCACCGATAACACGATAAGTGGAAAACCATTTTACTTTTTGGCTTGAAACTTACAAAACTGATGAATATTCATAATACGCAGGTCAAGTTCAAAAATCAGCATGATTGGGCCATATTTGTGGAAGTTGTGCTATTTTTTTCATTTTTTCAGCATAAATGCAACACCGATAACACGATAAGTGAAAAACCGTTTTACCTTTTGGCTTGAAACTTACAGAACCGATGAATATTCATAATACACAGGTCAAGTTCGAAAATCAGCATGATCGGGTCATTTTTAGGGAAGTTATGCTGTTTTTCACTTTTTTCACCATATATGCAACACTGATGACACGATAAGTGAAAAACCATTTCACCTTTTGGCTTGAAACTTACAGAACCGATGAATATTCATAATACGTAGGTCAAGTTTGAAAATCAGCATGATCGGGCCATATTTGTGGAAGTTATGCTGTTTTTTCACTATTTCAGCATATGTGCAACACCGATAACACATTTCAAGGAAAATCGATCGGCCAATCGTCTTGAAATTCACAGGGGTGATCAGATTTACTAAAATAAAGATGAGGTTCGAAAATAAGCTTGATCGGTTCAGTTTTGGTGAAATTGTGCCTTTTTTTGTATATAACTCTTTTTTTCCTCGGATTTAATTCTTAGGCATGTTAACAATCTCATTTGTGAACTAATTAGTAATGTAAAGGTGTTCTTTTGACATTTTTTGCATCTTAACAATATTGTTAGTTGATTATAAAAAAATGATGGTAAACCTGTTATTGTGCATTGTGTAATAAAGTGTCAAAAATGGAAATAAACTCATATCTTTACAGTTTGTCAGATTCAATCATTCACTATGTTCAGAATCTCAGAATGGAACAAATTGGACATTTAAAATTGTTCTATTGATATTTTTCCTATGTCAACAACTTTTTTAGTTGATCATTCAAAAACGACAGTAAATTGATTATTTCGATATATGTAAAAAAAAGTGTTGAAAGTGGAAAGAAATTCATTTCAGTACAGTTATCTCTTGTGTACATTTTGGCATTTTGAAGTTGTGACTCTGAACTTCCATGGCCCTGAAGACCTTTCCATATCAAATTTTCTGAATATCCATGATACTTTTATTTTATTATTAAAAATTGATGCTGTTAAGCATTATGTAATATTGCATCAAAATTGAAGACAACCCCATTTTAGACAATGCCTCCATAGTGACCATTAAAGGAAAACCAAGTCACTTACTCTTCTCAAACTTACAGAAATGTAGCATAGCACTAAATTATAGTTTCAGTTGGAAAACCTGTTATATCGGTTAACTTTCTTGGAAATTATATAGTTTTTTGTTACAATTAAAATTTTCACATATGGACATTTTCAAGGTGTGACTTAGTCTTTGAACTTCCATTGGCTTGAATACAATTGCTAGTCACATCTTTTGAATAGCTTTGATACATTTACTTTATTATTAAAAATTGATGGCCATTGTGCTGTTAAGCATTATGTTAAATTGCATAAAAGATGAAAAAAAACAAACTTTTTTGGACATCGCTGCTGGGATGACCATTAAGGAAAAACCATGTTACTTATGATATTCTAACTTACTGAAAAGTTTCATAGGACTGAAGTGTAGCTTGTGTTGGAAATCAGTGTGATTGTTTTCTGTTTTGGAAGCAATGCAGCTCTATAGAGTGCTATATGGGGCTACTGTTTATGGATGGTGGTAATTGTCCCTTGGGATAATCACTAGCTAAATTCAGAGCTATAAAATTACTTGCCTAATTAATTTTCAAGTGCCCATTAAGTAAGATTACATAAAACACACGTTGAGATTTCCCATTCAAGTCCTGTAGGTTAAGCTCTCTTAACTGTGTCACATAATTAGGAATTGGTGATAATTATGCAGGTAAATGTTGTTTTATATTGCAAATAAGTTTACAAAAGAAAAAAAATTTGTGTAATGCCAACATTAATGCTATAGATGAATAACAGTGCCTTATTATCCTCAAACACATTGGGATTATTCATATCATGTTAATACAGCAAGATTAACAGTTTGAATAGCAGCTTTATTGGAATTTTTTTTGTTGTGTTTTCTTTTGAATTTTTTTCTAAACACTGGCATTTTCAACTCCCATCCACCTGAAGCTCTTCAGATTTTCTGTATTTCCACATAAGCAGTTGCATAGGTTTTAATGTAATATTATTTTATGCACTGTCAACATTTTTCAAATATTGGGATTTTCATTATGTGAATTTGAACTCTCATGGTCCAGAAACTAATCTTATTGCAGGGGTGGATTGAGGCTGTCTTCTGGGTCTTTCAGATGACGGTCAGATTTTAAAGTTTACATTGACTTGTATCAATTTTTTTCTGTTGGAAGACCATCAGAAGTGGAGGATGGATCAACAAAGACACTTTGGAATACTGTCAGAAAATATCTCTGGATCTGCTCCTGTTATTGACCATGTTACCTGTTGTGCATGATTAAAAATCAGTGTTAACTGACTATGTTATTATAAGCATTATTTATTATTGCATCAAAATTGACAAAATGACCTATTTTGCATCTTTATTTTCTGTTTTTTTGTCTGTACATTTGACAGCTTTGCTGCCTTGTTTCTTCATGCACACTGAGAAAATGCAACCACAAACATGTCTTAAATAATTTATTTCATCAATATACCAACTGAATGCTTCACTATATTGATGTTAGTTATTCTTACCACATATACAATCATAGCATATCTAGTAGGGAGAGTTAAAGATTGATTCTGAAGCCTGATGTTCTCCATAAAGCAGTTCAGCTAAGTGAATTATTTTATTATGCCTGGTCACTGTGGATTTGTTAAATCCTGAGCTGATATTACCTCCCTGGGGAGCATTCAACTCACTTGGCTGCACATATATTGTGCCCAGAACTCTCTTTCTCAATTTTACCAGCACCAACAAAACCAGGTCTCTACCCTCTGCCTCATCCTCCTTATGCATGAGTGTTTGGTGATGAGACAGAGCCATTAAAATAATGGTCTTTGCTATGACACTGATGTGAAGAACCAACCAAGGAGCTCCCATACTGGAGGAGAGCACTCTACCAGAAAAACCATGTGGTCTTATTGTGGTAGTTCATGTTCCTTCACTTGTTCACAACCATAACAATTTAAGCTATTAAATTACCTGAAAATTTTAATTTCTGTCATGATCTAGGATGAATTCCATATTAATTGCACCAGTCCATAGTAAATTTTATATGCTACTTTTCTCCTCCTGCCCAGATGAGGAAGAGAGAAGAGGAAAATGCTAACAAGCTGTAGTTAGATCAATGACAGCTCTTATATCAAACTGTACTTTCAAACTGATATCAACACAATTTCATCATATTGTTAAATCATTCATGTGTATCATTGATTGCAAAAATCAACAAAAGAGAAATGTTAAAGAAATGATCCAAATATTAAGCTTACTCCACTTGTTTAGTTTTTTAGGTATTTGAACGGTGAGCATAAAAATGACATGGGGCAAAACCCAAGCAAAAAAAAAAAAAAAAAAAAAAAAAAGGCAAAATTCACCATATCTGGCAATCTGATGAAAACAAAATGCAATTTTGGCATATAAATATCATTTTTCCTACTGCAACAAGGAGCAGAGAAGGTGACAGTGTTCACAACTTCCATTCAACCCCTGACCACTAGAACATGCAGTTGACCTCCCATCTTCCTCCTGGGTCTTGTTACAGATACTTATCCACCATCACACACAATCTCATGAGTGTTTGGATTACAACTGGACAAGTGAACGCTGAGCAAAAACCATGTATCCAATCACAATCACAAACATGTTCCAATTTTTTATAAGACTGACAGCCTAGAATTACGATGAATCTGCCCTTGATGTGACTGCAGCATCTATGTGTCAGCCTATCAGTTGACAGCCCAAACTGGGAGTCAATTGCAAAAAGACTTGGGGTATATGTAACAACAAGTGTAATCAACAGAATTATACACACAGTCCTGCTGAGAAGATCCTCCAAAAATGACCAGAATACCTGACAGAATGATTTGGTTACTTGCCATTAGCAACTGGCAGTGTTACATGTACTAAGTCTAAACGCTGAACAATGATAATTATAGTGATACAGTGATAAATTATCCAGTGATGACTTCCATTGACACGTATGCAGCTTAAGTGGTGAGATGACCCTGAAAGGAAACCTTGAAATAGCAGACTTCAGCAGTTGTGCAGTTAGCATGTCTTATGAATCCACAACTTGTGTGAAGAGATGGCACATGCCATATGTACACAAACTTTTACAATTCAATTTGTCTAACCATTTCCCAAGTTCAAAAAGACTGGAAAGCTAGGCAACACATAGAAAATCAGTGTTTACTCAATTGCACCACAGCTGCATGCTGACATTTCAACCTCTGGAGAAGCTGCAGTGTGTAAACAATATTGGCACATGTCCTTGCTCTTTTACTTGATAAGCACCTGATTTAGGCAATGTCCTTTTCCCATACTTGTCCCCAGTCCTTTGTGGATCCTATATCAATAATCCCCACTACATAGTGCAGTGACATGGAAAAGCATTTCCCTTTTTGCTGTGTTATCTCTTCTTGGTGTCTGGTGTTGAATACACTGACACAAATGAGTCCGTACTGCCAGCAGCAAGTTTTACCTGATATACAACACAGGATATTAAAAATATAGTTGCAACTAGAAATATGCAAGAATTATAAGAAAAACTATAGCATGGAATGCAAAATGATTTTCTCAATGGGAGACAATCAAAACTGTACATGTACATCAAAATCAAAATCTTCCTGGAAACATAAATTTTGCCTTTTAGGGCAAGTAAATGATAATCATTACTACGTACTGTTTGCCAGGGCAGTTAAAAACTCCACTCACACAAACTTTCTACTTTTTTGCCAGAGATAAAGAGAAGTTGCTGTTAAGATTTAATGCAACAGTTCCTCTCATCCAAGCCAGTGAAAAAATATCCCTAACTCCCTCTGTTTTCATTTAGATGCCCACTTCCTATTAAAAAAATATTCAATTAATCTGCAAATGGCTATATGGCTATGGTTGAACCAACATGAAGTATTTATTTTAAAAAATGTCAAAGTTCAATTGCAGCTGTCTCTATGTAATCTTACCCTGTGAGGATGAAAAGCCATGCATGAAATGGGTCCTATCCTCTGCCCCATGAAGCCATCATGATACTTGATAGTACTGAGATTGTCACCAGACTTGTTAAACACTGTGATATACTGGTTTACTGAGCCACTGAAATACCAACAACCAAGAAGTAGCATCATTGATTTGATCAGACACAACAGTATAGAAAGCAAAAACTGAAATGCCAGCAGTGGGTTTGATATAAATTACCCTGGATAACATCATACTTCCACTGCATCAAACCTTCACTTCCTTTAAAATAATGTAAGAATAAGAATGAAACTTAATATCAGAAATTAAAAGAAAAAAATGAAAACTCAAAAATTCAAAAGCCATCACCATTCTATTATTATGCAACCTGTCAATAACAAACTAGAACAGTTCAGTCAATGTAATGAATAAAATATTCATTTTAATAGCTTGCACTACAATTAGTATTACGCTCAATATGACACGTTTTTCTATTCCAAACTCACCACGCTAACACATCTGCTACAGGATGTACCTCCAGTGACGTCAAACCTTGCTGCATCTGTATTGTGTTCACAGATTCCGTGAACCTTGGATCCCAGAATCGCACGTCACCAGCCACGCTACTACTGATGATTTTTCCATCGGCACCTTTCTGAAGGAACACCTTGACCACCCACCCTGTGTGCTCCCGTAGTGTCATCACGCGGCTGAAAATACAATTTATACAATAAAAAATCTTACCTTACCTTAGACCAAATTCCCACAGATGCCATGGGTCTATGTAGTTGATCTAACTCTGTTGGGACTCACTGTGTGCAATCAGCTTAACTGAATGACACACCTCCTTTAGTTTCCAACGTACTTATATAACCACCAGTTTTTATGTACCTTACTCAATGTCAGGATGAGGTGTGTCATTCAGTTAAACTGATTGCATTCAGCGAGTCCCAGCAGAGTTGGATCGATCACGTAGAATGATGGTGTCTCTGGGAATGGGGCCTTAGACTGCATATTCATACTAAATGACACTTGTGAGGTTTCTCTTTCCTTCTATCTGTAAAACATATTGTTAGTTCCCCCTTTCCTTTTTTGTCTTAAAAAAAAAAGAAACCTGATAAAATTAAATAAAAATGAAGATTAAATCTTACATTGGATACTGGCAAAGGGTAAATGATATGAGCTCCAACTTAAATATTATATACTGATAAAATTCCTAAGTTGCCTTTGCAGTAAAAACTAGCTCATAGCAAGAATGAGGAGCAAATTACCACATCTTGTAATACTTCTAAAGTTTATGGCAAAATATTTTAATTTACAATGTTTCATGACAGCTTATTTGTGCTAAAAATGTACCATTCTGTAGGTGATAGCCTCCTGTCATAAAGCCTCACAGACCCATCTCCACACCCTGCAATGACTAGAGAACTTCTGGCACTATCACTTGCAAGGCTGGTAACACAGCTGTCAGCACCAGTTGGGATATCCTTAAAGAAAAAGCAACTGTCTTAATGCCAATTTGTTTGAACACACTACTTGCCTCCAGATATGACAACTACTTGTACCTACATTATCAGCTTAATTATATCAAATTTAAGATTAACTGACACAAAGAAGATCATTCATAGTGATAAAATAATTGCAATTTGCTTCATGGAGATTTCTTGGAGATATGTACCTGTACTTTGAGCTCACTCTGTGTGTCCCATATCCTGATAATTCTGGCATCTCCAGAAGCCAGCAACTTCTCAGACTCCTGCTGCCAGTCCAGCACAAGACCAGAACCTGAAGACAAAAATAAATAAATAAATAAATAAATAAATAAATAAAAATTTTAAAAAATAAATAAAAACATCTTCTACATGATTGGACAAAAGTGCAGCTCTGATCACTTCTTCGTATTCTGTTAGTGCGAGGTGAATGTCATTTTTCAAAGTTACAGGCGCTTAATAAAACAGTTTATAAACCATTTGAAAATGGCTAGTCAATAAGGATTCAGGGGCACTGCACGTAAATCAACAGAGGAAGTGATAACAGAAGGAATCTCTAACTTTAATGTACATCATCTCGAATCATCTGCTATATCTGCAGTATTAACCATATGCATGTAACTCAGTTTCATCAAACCACACATAAACAGATAAAAAATCTTCAGCCACAACACATCATCTTAAGCAATCGACAAAATTTCTAACGTGATCTGGCATTTTCTAAATGTTCAGAAAAAACAGCAACGCCACCTGTAACAGTTCTAACTACAGAAAAGATGCATCTAAAAAACAACAAACTATCACTTTTAACATCCACCTACACTACAAGAGAAATTGACACGAAATTGATTTCTATGTGGAAACATGGTAATTTTTGGCACTGTAACATAAATGATTTGTTTTTGATGGATACATGTAAAATTCCTGTGACAGTAGTTTACTGGTAATGTCAGATGATCAAAACAGTGCCTAAAATTCACTTTAAATGGCAGAGCTAATTATCATGCCAACTTTATAGCTATGCCTCAATCGACAAAAAATGAGATCATTTTAAGCACAAGCACAGCACACTAATTTATATAATTCACATGCTCAAATCAAAACTATTGGTTAACACTACAACTGCCATGCACCGGATAGTGGATTGAAAGTCAAAAGAACACTCAATCAAACATAGGTAAAAGCTTGTTCACATCAGTTCTATGTTAGGTCATTTAAAATGAATCCAATTACCAAGTGACCTATCAGGCTTGTCTTTAAATATCCCTCTCCAAGTGACTGCATTTTGAAATTATTACCCTCTCAATTGTTTTTATGTTGTGGAAATCAATATAGGGGCTTCTCATTTTGTTTGGCTAGTGACCATATTCAAAACTTGAATTAAAACTGATGTTTACAAGGCTTGAGAAAATTGCATTTCTAATGTATGTTGCCTCAGTAGCTGCCCAGTCAAAAATTGACGTGGATATTTAATTCTATTTTTAAATTTATATTTAAATATAATTTTTTAATTGTTTGTTTTAAATGTCCACTTTAGATTCATCACTATATCAGAGATAACAATGAGCTACTAATCAAATTCATGAGTTTTTTTTCCAAAGTGAATATTAAACCAACTGTATATATACCAAGAGAGGGCTCGTTTGCAAAATTTCTACAGACATTACAGCAAAGCAATGCATCCTAGCAAAAGAATATGAAAAATATGGCAAAAAAGGTCCGAAACAAAAGATACAACAAACCTAAAGTTAGTTTTGACTGTAGGTTCAATGGACAAAGACTAATGTTTAACTCAGAAGAATATATAAATAAATAAAGTTACATCTAAGTGGAAGCAGCATGAACTAAATTTCTTGGAAAAAAAAAAAAAAAAAAACACGGTATCTAAACTAGCAATTCTGGCAAGTGTTTCCAAGACAACAACAACAACTAAAATGTGCCAAGAAGCTTTGTTTTACCAATTACGCCTAGTGGTAGAGCTGCAGAAGTTTTGCAAACATTCAGAGGTTCTTTTAGCTTGACTTTGTTCTTGTAAAAAGACATCCTAGAGATACCTCCAAAGCTTCTACTTCTCTTTAAAGGCGAGGCCATTGCAAGCTCTGATACCAGACCTGAGACAATATACATTGGATAGATTTAATAACCACAGAATGATGTAATCATGACCTCAATTCAATCACATTGTAAATAAATCTCTTTTGGGTTTGTCACATGCATGCACGCAAGCACGCACGCACACACACTAATCCACCTTGCTTGGACACTGGACTCAGAAGCACTCATAATTTTATTTTTTAACTTAGCTGTATCTAAAATTATTTTCTAATCACCTAACATCCGACTTTTGACTAAGAGCAAAAAATCTGACCACAAATAAAGTAAATATTCTACTTTTGGGCCACATTTATATAACTGAGCATGATAATGAGTATTATATCTGCTTCATACAAGATAGCTACCTTTGACTTGGGTGTACATAAAAATTTACAAACTCTACTCTTGCCATTATCAGCAAGGAATAAAAGCATATTCTTTTCTGAATAAAATAGTGCTCAACAGTTCAAATACAAAGTTTCTAAATTAGCTGCACAATGCATACTGAAGACTACAGGCACTGCCAATGGGACATTTCATGCTAAATTCTATTATCTAAGACCACAAGTGCAATACCATGCACACTACTTTGAAAAATTGCAAACAAAGCTCACCCATTCCATTACTACCAATTTAAATAAAAAGTGACTAGAAAAGTACAGTAAACTAGACCATTTATCTCTACAGATAAATTTTAAAAAAAAACAGTTATCAAAAGATAAGCAAAAATGTTCATTAGCTTGGTAGTTGGATCATAAATAAAAATTATTCAAACACAAGTCAAAAAAGTCTGATGAAGGCCTATGTCCAGGTTGGCCATATGTTAACAGTATGAATTTTTTTTTTGTCTTGTGTTTGATAATTTTCATTTATTATCAAAAGAAAGTTTAATTCACAGATAGAAATTCTACAATAATACTGGGCATACATATCAGTACCTCTAGTTGAGGGCAGCATGTCAGATAATGCCTGCCATGCTGTGACCATCTCCTGAGCTCCCTCTTCCAATTCTCCACTGTAGTTACGCCACAGTCTCACAGCACCATCATCTGAAAACAATTCAATCTCATAAATAGGCAAAACTTAGGCAGATTAAATAATTAAATCAAAACTCGAAACAATCATGATTTGTTATGTTTGGCAGCATAAATACAGCTTTAAATAAATAAATAAAAAACTTTTAATACCTTTTATTTGCATGTCTCATTTTTTAAAAAGGCAAAATATTTTACCTGATCCCATTAACAGCAGAGCTTTGTCATGGCCATTGACAAAATCCATGGAGGTGATTCTGCTGTGTTTAGGGTTTGTGTTAAAAAAGTAGTTGAGCCTAGTGCCTTGCTCCCATTCCCAAATGCTGAAAATTTATTTTTTCAATACATCATTCATGTTTTCATACTTGGGGAAAAATTAATACCGACGTCACAAAAAATTCCTTCGATACTACTCCAACACTCTATATGCATATTTGGATTATATATACATCAGACTATATAATTGCAAATGAATATCTACTTTGCCTAATGATATTCAAAATATTTGGAATGTTCCCCCAACCTCCTTGCTTTGCCAACCTACCTCACACCTTCCTTGTCTGCCACAGCCAAGTGGGGTTCATAAGGGTGGAATTTTATCACAGAAGGACTGCCAAGGTTTTTGTTAATAAACACTTGATCATCTACACGATTAAAACCTGAAAATAAAACAAAAACTAGCAGCATTAAGGATATGAGGAGAATATGAAAAGGACAACACACTGATTCATAAAGATAATCCACAGTTCAAATGCATGGTATATCAACTTGGTGAAATATAAAGTACAATTATACCTTCTTCTGACAGGAAGGGAACTTTGCTTGCACCACATTGAATATACATGGATGAACACACTATTACACTATCTTGTACAAGCTTCTACTGCACACATTTGACAAATTTCCTATGTAAGCACCCAGTTGAGAACCCACCTCCCTATCCACACACTGTATTTACTTTATACCTTGCACAAAGTTGCTCCAGAAAAAAATATCATGCATGGGACAGATAGTAGGTGATGAACAGAACTTAGGTAAGAAAGAAGAGAAGCACCCAGGAGGCAATTTCCGTAACAAACCTGCTCTTTCCTGCTCCTCTCTGGCCTCTCTCCTGATGCAGCCATTCCTCATGTAGCGATACTCTCGTTCCAAATAAGACTCGCTATCGGCCTCAGTTTCATCCCCGGCTTTCATGATTGGCTGAGCAAATCTTTTGCAGCACCAGTCGAAGAACTCTGTAGAAACTATCTGCTCTTTGGTTGTAGAGTTCCCAGAGGTAGGACTTGTTACTTCTTCATCCGATTCTTCCACCTGTTGATATCAATTTTTACCATTAAAACAAGTATATGCATTGATAAGGAATGAAGCAGTACTCTAAAGACAGCATAATCAGCAATGAAAATAAAATTGTTATGTTTTAAAATGATCAAATGTGGAGAAAGTAAATTATTGCATAGTATTGGCATTCTCAAAACCCCAACCTATACTTACAATTGGACCTTTGTCAAACAGTTTTCTGGTTCTGGAGTACTGAGCAGAGTACTGGTACTGCTGCCCCAGGGTCAAGGCCCCAGGACTCCTAGGGTCTCCGCCCCCTCTCATATTGATTGGCGGGCTAGCACCAGTCTGAAATCCTTTCACAGGTGAGTTCTCAGTGCTGAGGAAAAANTACAAGGAAAGTGCACGGCGACGACAGACGCAGGTGATGGCAATATGTACAGACACATCTGTGTCTGTACATAAAAATGAAGATTAAATCTTACATTGGATACTGGCAAAGGGTAAATGATATGAGCTCCAACTTAAATATAATATACTGATAAAATTCCTAAGTTGCCTTTGCAGTAAAAACTAGCTCATAGCAAGAATGAGGAGCAAATTACCACATCTTGTAATACTTCTAAAGTTTATGGCAAAATATTTTAATTTACAATATTTCATGACAGCTTATTTGTACTGAAAATGTACCATTCTGTAGGTGATAGCCTCCTGTCATAAAGCCTCACAGACCCATCTCCACATCCTGCAATGACTAGAGAACTTCTGGCACTATCACTTGCAAGGCTGGTAACACAGCTATCAGCACCAGTTGGGATATCCTTAAAGAAAAAGCAACTGTCTTAATGCCAATTTGTTTGAACACACTACTTGCCTCCAGATATGACAACTACTTGTACCTTCATTATCAGCTTAATTATATCAAATTTAAGATTAACTGACACAAAGAAGATAATTCATAGTGATAAAATAATTGCAATTTGCTTCATGGAGATTTCTTGGAGATATGTACCTGTACTTTGAGCTCACTCTGTGTGTCCCATATCCTGATAATTCTGGCATCTCCAGAAGCCAGCAACTTCTCAGACTCCTGCTGCCAGTCCAGCACAAGACCAGAACCTGAAGACAAAAATAAATAAATAAATAAATAAAATTTTTAAAAAATAAATAAAAACATCTTCTACATGATTGGACAAAAGTGCAGCTCTGATCACTTCTTCGTATTCTGTTAGTGCGAGGTGAATGTCATTTTCAAAGTTACAGGCGCTTAATAAAACAGTTTATAAACCATTTGAAAATGGCTAGTCATTAAGGATTCAGGGGCACTGCACGTAAATCAACAGAGGAAGTGATAACAGAAGGAATCTCTAACTTTAATGTACATCATCTTGAATCATCTGCTATATCTGCAGTATTAACCATATGCATGTAACTCAGTTTCATCAAACCACACATAAACAGATAAAAAATCTTCAGCCACAACACATCATCTTAAGCAATCGACAAAATTTCTAACGTGATCTGGCATTTTCTAAATGTTCACAAAAAAACAGCAACGCCACCTGTAACAGTTCTAACTACAGAAAAGATGCATCTAAAAAACAACAAACTATCACTTTTAACATCCACCTACACTACAAGAGAAATTGACACGAAATTGATTTCTATGTGGAAACATGGTAATTTTTGGCACTGTAACATAAATGATTTGTTTTTGATGGACAAATGTAAAATTCCTGTGACAGTAGTTTACTGGAAATGTCAGATGATCAAAACAGTGCCTAAAATTCACTTTAAATGGCAGAGCTAATTATCATGCCAACTTTATAGCTATGCCTTGATCAATAGATAATGAGATCATTTTAAGCACAAGCACAGTTCAATAATTTATATAATTCACATGCACAAATCAAAACTATTGGTTAACACTACAACTGCCATGCACCAGATAGTGGATTGAAAATTAAAAGAACACTCAAATCAAACATAGGTAAAATCTTGTTCACATCAGTTCTATGTTAGGTCATTTAAAATTAATCCAATTACCAAGTGACCTAACAGTCCTCTCTTTAAATATCCCTCTCCAAGTGGCTGCATTTTGAAATTATTACCCTCTCAATTGTTTTGTGTTGTGGAAGGCAATATAGGGGTTTCTCATTTTGTTTGGCTAGTGACCATACTCAAAACTTAAATTAAAACTGATGTTCACAAGGCTTGAGAAAATTGCATTTCTAATGTATGTTGCCTCAGTAGCTGCCCAGTCAAAAATTGACGTGGATATTTAATTTCATTTTTAAATTTATATTTATATATAACTTTTTAATTGTTTGTTGTAAATGTCCACTTTAGATTCATCACTATATCAGAGATAACAATGAGCTACTAATCAAATTCATGAGTTTTTTTTCCAAAGTGAATATTAAACCAACTGTATATATACCACAGTAGTCTAAGAGAGGGCTCGTTTGCAAAATTTCTACAGATTTTACAGCAAAGCAATTCATCCTGGCAAAGAATATGAAAAATATGGCAAAAAAGGTCGAAAACAAAAGATACAACAAACCTAAAGTTAGTTTTGACTGTAGGCTAAATGGACAAAGACTAATGTTTAACTCAGAAGAACATGTAAATAAATAAAGTTACATCTAAGTGGAAGCAGCATGAACTAAATTTCTTGAAAAAAAAAAAAAAAAAAAAACACGGTATCTAAACTAGCAATTCTGGCAAGTGTTTCCAAGACAACAACAACAACTAAAATGTGCCAAGAAGCTTTGTTTTACCAATTACGCCTAGTGGTAGAGCTGCAGAAGTTTTGCAAACATTCAGAGGTTCTTTTAGCTTGACTTTGTTCTTGTAAAAAGACATCCTAGAGATACCTCCAAAGCTTCTACTTCTCTTTAAAGGCGAGGCCATTGCAAGCTCTGATACCAGACCTGAGACAATATACATTGGATAGATTTAATAACCACAGAATGATGTAATCATGACCTCAATTCAATCACATTGTAAATAAATCTCTTTTGGGTTTGTCACATGCATGCACGCAAGCACGCACGCACACACACTAATCCACCTTGCTTGGACACTGGACTAAGAAGCACTCATAATTTTATTTTTTAACTTAGCTGTATCTAAAATTATTTTCTAATCACCTAACATCCGACTTTTGACTAAGAGCAAAAAATCTGACCACAAATAAAGTAAATATTCTACTTTTGGGCCACATTTGTATAACTGAGCATGATAATGAGTATTATTTCTGCTTCATACAAGATATCTACCTTTGACTTGGGTGTACATAAAAATTTACAAACTCTACTCTTGCCATTATCAGCAAGGAATAAAAGCATATTCTTTTCTGAATAAAATAGTGCTCAACAGTTCAAATACAAAGTTTCTAAATTAGCTGCACAATGCATACTGAAGACTACAGGCACTGCCAATGGGACATTTCATGCTAAATTCTATTATCTAAGACCACAAGTGCAATACCATGCACACTACTTTGAAAAATTGCAAACAAAGCTCACCCATTCCATTACTACCAATTTAAATAAAAAGTGACTAGAAAAGTACAGTAAACTAGACCATTTATCTCTACAGATAAAATTTTTAAAAAACCACTTATCAAAAGATAAGCAAAAATGTTCATTAGCTTGGTAGTTAGATCATAAATAAAAATGATCCAACACAAGCTAAAAAAGTCTGATGAAGGCCTATGTCCAGGTTGGCCATATGTTAACAGTATGAATTTTTTTTTTTTTTTTTTTTTGTCTTGTGTTTGATAATTTTCATTTATTATCAAAAGAAAGTTTAATTCACAGATAGAAATTCTACAATAATACTGGGCATACATATCAGTACCTCTAGTTGAGGGCAGCATGTCAGATAATGCCTGCCATGCTGTGACCATCTCCTGAGTTCCTTCTTCCAATTCTCCACTGTAGTTACGCCACAGTCTCACAGCACCATCATCTGAAAACAATTCAATCTCATAAATAGGCAAAACTCGAAACAATCATGATTTGTTGTTTGGCAGCATAAATACAGGTTTAAATAAATAAAAAAACTTTTAATATCTTTTATTTGCATGTCTCATTTTTTAAAAAGGCAAAATATTTTACCTGATCCCATTAACAGCAGAGCTTTGTCATGGCCATTGACAAAATCCATGGAGGTGATTCTGCTGTGTTTAGGGTTTGTGTTAAAAAAGTAGTTGAGCCTAGTGCCTTGCTCCCATTCCCAAATGCTGAAAATTAATTTTTTCTCAATACATCATTCATGTTTTCATACTTGAGAAAAATTAATACCGGCGTCACAAACAATTCCTTCGATACTACTTGAACACTCTATATGCATATTTGGATTATACATACATCAGACTATATAATTGCAAATGATTATCTACTTTGCCTAATGATATTCAAAATATCTGAACTATTCCCCCCAACCTTCTTGCTTGGCCCACTCACCTGACACCTTCCTTGTCTGCCACAGCCAAGTGGGGTTCATAAGGGTGGAATTTTATCACAGAAGGACTGCCAAGGTTTTTGTTAATAAACACTTGATCATCTACACGATTAAAACCTGAAAATAAAACAAAAACTAACAGCATTAAGGATATGAGGAGAATATGAAAAGGACAACACATTGATTCATAAAGATAACAATCCACAGTTCAAATGCATGGTTTATCAACTTGGTAAAATATAAAGTACAATACCTTCTTCTGACAGGAAGGGAGCTACTTTGCACTCATATTAAAAAAAAAAAACTAAGAAGGAATAATATCCCTTCTTTGCTTGCACCACATTGAATATACATAGATGAACATACTATGACAGTCAGATACTAACTTGTACAAGCTTCTACTGTACACATTTGACAAATTTCCTATGTAAGCACCCAGTTGAGAACCCACCTCCCTATCTTTACACTGTATTTACTTTATACCTTGCACAAAGTTACTCCAGAAAAAAATATCATGCATGGGACAGATAGTAGGTGATGAACAGAACTTAGGTCAGAAAGAAGTGAAGCACCCAGGAGGCGATTTCCGTAACAAACCTGCTCTTTCCTGCTCCTCTCTGGCCTCTCTCCTGATGCAGCCATTCCTCATGTAGCGATACTCTCGTTCTAAATAAGACTCGCTATCGGCCTCAGTTTCATCCCCAGCTTTCATGATTGGCTGAGCAAATCTTTTGCAGCACCAGTCAAAGAACTCTGTAGAAACTATCTGCTCTTTGGTTGGAGAGTTCCCAGAGGTAGGACTTGTTACTTCTTCATCCGATTCTTCCACCTGTTGATATCAATTTTTACCATTAAAACAAGTATATGCATTGATAAGGAATGAAGCAGTATTCTAAAGACAGCATAATCAGCAATGAAAATAAAATTGTTATGTTTTAAAATGATCAAATGTGGAGAAAGTAAATTATTGCATAGTTCTGGCATTCTCAAAACCCCAGCCTATACTTACAATTGGACCTTTGTCAAACAGTTTTCTGGTTCTGGAGTACTGAGCAGAGTACTGGTACTGCTGCCCCAGGGTCAAGGCCCCAGGACTCCTAGGGTCTCCACCCCCTCTCATATTGATTGGCGGGCTAGCACCAGTCTGAAATCCTTTCACAGGTGAGTTCTCAGTGCTGAGGACAAAGCAGAACAAATCCTTATCAGTTAAAAGGAAAATAAATTAAGTTGCTTATTAATACTTTCTACTTTCAAAATGTTGTGATTCGTTCCATAAAATTTGCCAATTTTTATTTCAAAACAAAATCAATCATTCTGATAAGTGCCCATCCAGGTGAAGATGTTTCTTTGTATGGAAATGATTGTTTATTTACTTTGTAGTCATGTGGGCTGATGCCTTCCCAGATGGACTGGAGGGGGCCGAGTGGCTGGCCTGATGCTTGCCATTACTGGGGCCTACAGGGCGAGGACGTGCACCTATGGTAGCCTGGAAGGAATAATTAACATCTTTACTCTATAATGAACATCAGAGAGGAATGAAGGGAAAAAAAATCACATTATTTTTAAAAGAAGCTGGCAGTCATATTTTAATAAATGGCACACTATGGGACAGTTAGGATTATTAATGTCTACTGCAGTCTGCATTACACTGATTGATGTGCAGCAATTTTGCCGACAAATAATGCATAGTACTGTAGCAACATAACCACTGCCAAGACACGACTTGAATTCTCACTTTTAAATTCTAAATTCAAGGTGGAGTCCGCTTCAACTGAATCAGTGCTTGGACTTATTTTCCTACTCATTTCTGACCCATTCCTCCCACAATCCCCATACCTTTGTATTAATGGCATCAACCACAGTTTTGGCCAGGTCGGCCACCTCCTTAAACGGGTCCATGGAAAGCTGGAGCAGACATTTCCAGATGTTACCGTACACATTCCCATGCCCTGACACTATGGAGCTGATGTTGGTGTTGGAACTGGTCCTTCTCAGGCGGTCCATTCCCAGACTGTCCAAGTTGCCGGAGCTCTCAAAGCTGCTGCTGGGACTGCTGTTGTAGCTCATGATGGGACTCACAGCTGGGCAAGTGAGACAAATGTCTAATTGAGATTATCTATGGTGAGGCTACCTTATATACATAATACTTTAAAGCTTTGAAGCAATCTATTTGAGCACAACTGTGAATGGATTCATTCTAGTGTCCGCTCAAAAGTTAACATTTTAGCGTGGTTGTTATGTTAATCTGTTAAAGTCTCCAATTCACTCATTTCAAATTACTTGAATGCTAACTATATAATATCACTGCTAAGAGCATCAATGCTTTCTATAAGTGAGGACACTGTACAAATTAAAGCACTGCAAACTACTGTAACTAAAATAAGCAGAAGCAGACTTTTTTTTCATGAATCTTTTTTCAAGCACATCAGCTCTCATATAAATGGATTTGCTTTTTCCCCTTTAGCAAAGGTCTTTAGCAACCACGTTAGGCACTAAATAAGTGGACCAAAAAAAAAAAAAAAAAAAAAAACGCAGATATAAATTTGAAGGAATCCGGGTCAAATGGATGTGAACATAGCAGACAAAATATTCTTGAAAATTTCAGCAAAGAAAAATATCATAAAAAGGCATATTTTCTTTTGTTCATGATAATTGTGGAAAAACACGAAAAAAGAAAATGGCAATTGAACCTCTGATCTTAATAAAAGAGAATTACAAAAAAACTTGTGAAACTAATGAAATAATGAAAATGTCCATCTTAAATATGGAAATAAGAAAAGATGAGTAATGATAATTCCAATGCATTCCTTCCTGCACCACTACAAACATTCTCCAAGACAACACTGGGGAAATAAGACCAAACAAACAATAGTAACAGCAGTCAGAGTGGTTAGCAAAATACTACACCTTAAACCAGCCCACAAATAATAAAGCAACTACTAACAGTTAAACAGGTTGACATTTAACCAGGGTTAGAACTCCATATATCCAACAATCATTGAAGTCTTTACCCATCCAAGGGCTGCTTAATATTTAAACCTAAAGTCTACACATAACCTTCACATTCATTCACATTAAAAATTACCAGAAAATGGTCAAAACCATACATTCAATGATTGTTGTTGGATACATGTCATAAACATGTGTTCAAAGCATTCACATATTGATATTTATCTAAACTATTACTCAACTGGTGCTGAAGAGACATCACAGAGACAGATAAAAAGTAGTGTCACTGTGTTAACATTACTGACTTGGCAGCCAAATATCATAATCCATAAAGTCAAAGCTCTTCAAAATTTTAGGAAATGAAATTTTGTCAGTTTTTTATTACAATTTTCATTTTGTTTTGGATAATAATCAATATGTATAACTAGGTTTATATGTCATTGAATATAAAAAGATATACAAGATACAAAAAGGCGGATGTGGATGTTTTGATTAATGCAATGAAGATAAAAAAATTTAAAGGTTTATAGCCTGTGGATAAAGCCAAACAGAACCTAAACAAAAAGGAAATATATGAATATATGAACCAACTGAACTATGAATAACTTAATGCCAACCCATCACCAGCAATTAGGATCATATTAGCTTCTGTATCACATATCTCAGAGGTTGACCTAATACTTCTGTCCATATATTTAGGCATATTCATACGGACATTATATCTGTCTGAGATAAATGTCATTTTGTCTTAAATGACGTACACTTACACCTTAGCAGCAAGTCCCAGCACCTCATTCAGACTCTGGTAGAGACGACTGAGGCTGAGAAAGAAATGGGTCTCAGTAACAGCAGCTCTTAAGGTTGAAAAACACTTTTCAGAACCAACTATTCACGTACAGACTTAGAGGCTTACTTTGGTCAGTTGCAAACAATGCAAGCAAACCATTTGAAAAGAAAAATATGGATTCAGAAGCAATATGATTCCAATATATCTTTTCTACCAAAACATATGCACCATAGCCACATGCATATAATATTACCCAATTTTTTCAAGTTGCCTGCAGAGCCAGAATGCCTTAGACCTGGAGCAGGGGCTGGGTTAACACTATAGAAACCTACATGTAAAACTAGGCGAGTCAACACAGGTTTTTAACTACCAAAATGCTCTAAAGTTTTAAAAAATACATTAAACCTTTGGCAAAAACTAGAAATTTTGCAAGTGCACATTCTTTATTTCTAATTAACAAAAAGAAAATTGGTTTCACCAGAGAAGTATGAAGGCAAAAAAGGTCCCCTTCCTTAGAGGGAAAGGCAGATGTTGGTAAATATTTGATAACTGTCCAAATAGAATGCAAATGGGAAAAACAGAACAGAAAGCTCAGTGCTTAAGAAAATTTTAACTTTTAACCACACATATAATTTTCCATTTTCACCCATGCCATTAATGTAACATCAACTTAAAAGAAAATAATTTATTCAGATATTGACATTATACACATTAATACCCATTAGTGTATAAGAACCAGCATTTCACGACTTTTTAAAACAAGTGTTTTGCAAAGTTGTCATAATATTATACTTCTTGAAACATTATTCTTATAAAACCTCAAAAAATTGGAAAAACTAACTGAATTTTACAATTTTGACACATTTATTTTACCTGTACTATGTAACCCCAGGGGATGGTTCCCGACATTCCACCCCCCTGGGGCTGCAGACACTGTGGCATAATGTTGCTGGTCTCTCTGTCTTTCCTCTTCTATGAACTGGTAGGCCACAGCAGAAAACTGGGTCTCAAACTGCTGGACCAGTCCACCTAGTGCCACTACCAACTCCTACAAGTGATATACATTTATCAATGTATTTCTAATCAATATCTAAACCAAAAAGGCTGGTAAAATCACTGGGTAAGAGGAGCAGAGAAAACTTAAAAAATTCTTCTTTACACATTTCCCTTTTCCTTGCAATGGAGAATGATTTCAAACATATCAAAAACTGTATCTTCAGCTATGGTAAAAAAATTTAAAACAATTTTTCAAACTCTATCATGGTGACCGATCTTTTGAAAATTAGTTATTTGTCTGAAGATTACAAAATAATATCAATGTCACACCAGAATGAGACCCCTACCTTTCTGACCAGTGGGCTCCCGTCTTGTACAATGGTAAGAAGCATCATCCCAACATTGTGATCCACATTGTTAGCGTGGTCTGTCCTCTCATGGGTGCTGGTGATGAAAGTGCCCAGTGCATAGACCGTGGAAGCCCGCACCTGATAAGAATCAGAGCACTATTACTAGGAGGCTTTCATCAGTCTTGCATGCAAAAACTGTCAAACCTTAACAAATACCTTTACTTGCAACATGTGCTAAATCAAGTGAAAAAAAGCACTGGCTAGTTGACCATGTGTATGCTAAGACTTACACAGCAGAGGACTACAGTAGGAGTGCATGTTTTCACTAGTACATCATATTCATCTATGCTTACAACATCTAAATATCTACCTTAACATACAGGGATGAAACTGCCATTTAGTGAAAAAGTAAAAAAAAAAAAAAAAATGGCCTGGGGTCCAGGGGGCACCTAGGCCAATCATAATTTTGGCTCCCAGAAAGTCGTAAATCTGCGATAGTCAGAAAATATCATCCATGATTATATGGCTTTAAAAAGTATATAAGATTTTATCAATAAACAGACACAAACATGTTTTTATCAACCATTCAACCACAATAAGTGCCCTCCCTCTGTCTGGCCTGCACTACACTGTCCTCACCTCTGGGGTTTTGTCATTCAGTAAAGTATACAGTTTTTCATGGGCACTGTCCCTCACTCCACACCACCTGGCTGCACTAAAGTTGGTCCAGATCTAATAATAATGATAATAATAATAATAACAATAATAATAATAATAATAATAATAGTTACAACAAACACACTGATGTTCTGACTATAAATCTGAAACTGTGTCAGTGACATTTAAAATATTAACAAAGAAATGCTCAGTTTAAAAATGTCATCTTTTATATTTTAAATACATAACGCAAGAAATACTAAAGATAATATATTTGCTTTTTTTATATGCCTAGTCATAGCCCACCTTGCCCAGGCACAGTGCCAGCCATTGTCTTAGCTGAGCATTGGAACTGTCCAGCTGTTCCAGGCAGATCGAGATCAAATTCCCCTGCATAGCGGCTTCCTGCAGTGGAAAATTAATCAAGAATAACTGTTAAAACAAGATCAATGACACAATGCACAATAGACAGATACTAAAAGTCAAGGTGAACTAACAATGTTATTGAATTAAGAATCTAATGCACTACCATGGTCATTTATCAGCATAACGTATATGCATATTGACATAAAAACAAATATTTATTATTCTAGCTGTACACTGCATTGTCTTACCTGGCCAGGCTGGTACTTGTTCACTATCATTGCCAGGACAAATGCTGCCATGGTTCGATGTTCTGCCTTAAATTTACAAAAACTTCATTACTTTGTCAGTCTGACTCTAAGCCAAAAACTTTTCACCTGGCTCCTTGGAATGCCAGATGACAAAGTAGAAACATGGCCAGTAACTGATTAAATTTTTAAAATTTCATTGCGGCATGGGGCCAATGCTAACATCACAGACCTCTGGGTATCAATAAAATTCTATCATCATAGTTCATACATATTTCAATTATCTACGAACCATATTTCATTGATAGTCTGTCTCCGTTTGAAAGCAAAAAAATCCAATATACAAAAAGAATTACACTGAGACAGGCAAAAATTTCTTGCATTCAAATCCCCTTTTCTATCCTGTAAATAACATATAATGCATACAGGAGTTGCAATATGTAAACAATTTGAAACAAGTCTTTGATCTCTTAACATAAGTTACCACCACGTTTATACATTTTAAATTCTACATAAATTTGTAAACATTAACTGCATACATATATCAAAAAGATGACTAAGTTAAACTTTGAAAGAAAATCTCCAAGCATTTACATATTAAGCATCTGCATGTGCAAGCCCATTTGCAGGACTATGTACTTACTGGCATGTAAGGATCTGCTAGAACTGACAGGAAATATTTGTGGCCATTATCCTTTACAAGGTCTGCTTGACAAGACTGGAAAAAAGATGACAAACACAATAGTTGCATGATTGGGAAATAAAAAGCTATAACAGTTGTTTTCTTATAAAACTTATCTTTATTGTCACCGCCGTCTGTTTTTGTAGTAGGTTATAAACGTATATATTAGTTTCATTGTGTTAATTCTTTGTCAAGTTCTTCTGACTAAGGACTCAATTCTCCAATGTTCACCTTGTCCACAGCTAATATCTTGGCCCATATGAACACTAACAGTGGCCTCAGCTCCCTGGCTGAGCTCTGAAGTAGTTTCAGCACATACGGAAATATACCAACTGACAAGGCCTGGAAAGGAACACTTAAAATTATATGTATAATCAACCATTTTGATCACAGCCCTACCGAGTAAACATACTGAAAATATACAGATATACAGAATAAATCTGAAGTGATTCATTAAGGACAAATGGTTGAAAATACAAAAAAAATATGTCTTTGCAAGTACAAGATGTTTTACAAACCATTTGTTAGGTAAAGATGGGTGTTTGCAAAATTTGCCATGCATTAAATGGAAACTTGGTCAGGTTTCTAGAAAGTGTTTAAAAACTAATGATTTGGTGACTGTACTCAAATCATTAGTTTTTAAACACTTTCTAGAAACCTGCCCTAGTGTAATGGTTACTGACTCATTACTTGCATACGTATTTCAATATAAGCAGGTCCACTTACAAGACTGACTGCCCAGGAACCCAGGTCCAGAAACCTTCCCAAGAGATCCAGAGCTCGTAATCTATGGACTTGACTCAGCAACACCTAGTAGAATAATAACATAGATTTATGTTTGAAAAAAATAAACATTTCAAATTCTTTCCCTGTTATAAAAGCTAATAAAGGAATGAGGTTCTGTTTTGCTTATCATCACAAGAACCGTCAACCATACTGTTCTCAAAGTAACTAAAATCTTTTTTCTTTGCCAATTATGGAGTTCTCAAAGTACACAAAATCAATTACTTATTAGTTTTTCAATTAGTGATTCTTTAAGTAACTGAGAACCTTAGGTTTTCAACACCTTATCATCAATGGCAAAATAACGCCTACAAGCTACAGTATTCCAAAGTACTCCGACTTGTAAATGCCTAAAGATGACAACCAAATAAGAGGTCATACTGCTACATTATATATCTGTTAAGTTTATGCTTAAAATGTTTTATAATGTTCGAGTGTATCAGGGTACAACATAAGACCTTATGGGCTCAGCTGAAGACCTCTAGGCTTACCTGAAGCACAATGGGAAGTTGTTCAGGTGGACTCCTCAGCTCTGAACCATATGACAGCCACACCTGAAATGCTGTGAGCTGCTCCGCAAAGAATGGACTGTGCTGAAATGTGCTGCTTTCATCCAAAATCCCCGTCAGTTGTGACAGACACAAGTCTAGGGCCAGATCCCATGCTTGCCTTGATGGGAGAAACACAGTCTTAGATAGGGATACAGGAGCAAATGGTGAATTGTCCTCATGTTGAACTTCTGTTGAACTTATCATATATTTATATTATATTTAAAATTAATTATATTATAATCACAAGTAAAGAAATAAAAGTTATATCCCTCTCTATAACCATTGAGGCCAGCAAACTAACCTAAGTATCACCTTAAAACCATTTTAAAAGATAAGGACATAATAAGAGACATCCATTTTATTGTTCACTGGTCTCAAGCATAAAGACTAACATCTGCCTTGTGCTCCCAACCTAAGTGTTAATTCAAAGTATAAACCTGAACTTTGAAAGCACAAGTTGAAAGTTTTGATAGACATTTACACAATATTACTAGCATCAAGCCTATAAGCATTTTTGTCCAAATCAAAAGTGAATCGACAAAAAACAAATAAATAAATAAATAAATACTGTTTAGTCCTTGACAATTTCTTAAATACATTTCTTAAACATTTTGTAAGCCAGGGTGTGCCAAACAATTCTGCCATTACTAAAACAGCACTCACCACATTGGGTGTTGGTAGGTAGGAGGCAGCCTGGGCGCCGAGACAGGGGTGCAATTATAAGCTCTCATGATTCTCTCTGCCAGCAGAAAGTTACGGAATAAACTTGCCACGAGGAGGTCCTGGCGAAACAGTTTCTGGAACAACTCTGAAAAAAAAAATTAACATTTGAAATTATTATATCTGTTTGCGAATGGAGTATGCAACAAATATTCATTCAAGCCCGAGACCTCTACCTACAAGATATTTTTCCCTCCTCATAACTGCATCTTACAAATATTGTCAATAAGCTGCAAAATTCACTGTAAACCTAAATATGCATTTACACACTTTAACAAATGATCAAGAAAAAAAGAAATTTTCAAGGAAAAAGTTTTTCTTACGAAATGCCTTACCCCTAGGAAGGACATTCCAAGCTATTGTATCAGTTATTGCAGTAAATATCCAGTTCAGCTCTCCAAGCATAGTCCTACGGTCATTCAACTGGCCTGGAATCCTGCAGGAAGTACAGCAATTATCAAGTTGAAATGCATCATTGGGTACCCAACACACACCTCTATTTTAAGAGACAGAAGAACATAGAAGGCAGTCCCTACATCACACAAGGAATGTAAATAGATTTCTAAAAAGAGAATCAAGCTCATGTTTTAAAATTAAACTTTCCAATGTCTACACTAAACTTAAGTTGTACCTAAAAGAGCTTTCGGTCACGCCGTGACCTTCCTCACTTTGTGTTACAATGAAATGAAAAGTTTAATCTTATAACATGATCAACAGACCACAGGTGAATCTCCATCAGAAAAATCAGGCTCGGTTAACTCTAGATACAGTAGTTATTTAGGCATACAATGTATGTACCTACTAGTAATTTTGGAGCAATTTACTTTCTCCATCACATTAGTTATTGAATGTATACTTACTTGTCAACTAGCTCCATAGATATACTAGGTACTAGTTTGGCTGTGTTTTGTAATACAAACCTGGAAAACGGCAATGTAAAACAGCATTAGTAACATGATATGATAAATGTACATAGAGCACTGCCTTACACTCACATTAATTAAATCTTAGAATAATTCCACAACTGGTACTTGTAATGCTTGTAGTATTTTTTCTATTCAAACATAAATAATATGGTAATGACTTGATTTTTTCAATGGGCAATCATCAAGCTCTCAGATACAAAATTTTGGATTAAGAAAAAAAAAAAAAAGAAAAAAATATATATATACATACATTTCTGCAGCATTTATAGTGCTTTTACTGTGTATAATAGAACTATAAGGTATCCTGTTTTTGCAACTTTGTTGCTAACATTCAACAGTAATGTTCTAATTTTAAGAATTTATGATTTAGAAAAAAATGTAACTGTAAAATTTAGCTTTTCTCATTGAAAAGATTGAGTATTCAACAAACTATTTATCACATCTACTAAAACCTACTAACTTACTCATACTTTCTATCTGTCTCTCTTTTTTACACACACACACACACACACACGTGCGCATGCACATGCACACACACACACACACACACACACACACACACACACACACACACAGTTTGAGTATGTGCACATGTAAAAAGCTTTACCATCTAAGGGCAATTTTGATGGGTGTAGTTAGACAAGAAGTAAAAAGATCGGCTGGAAGTTCTGGGTTCATAGGCAGGAGCTCTGTTGGCCCACAGGCTGCCAGCTGTATGCAGCTCTTCACTGCCGCTGCAGACAACATGGTTGATGGTGAACTAAAATTGTTGTTGGCAGCAGATTGTCGAGAACTCGTCTAGAAAGATTTTAAGAAAAAATTTTTTATGATATTCATTTAAAAGGATTGCCAACATTTTTCTCAACTTCTAAAACTGTTTAGATTTACTGTTTATCATATTTTCCTGTACAAAAGTCATGTCAACACATCCTGTAAAGTTGGAACTTGCCATAATTCAAAGTTTGCTATAATTTCTACATTGACTCTTTAATAATGCAAGAAGTTATTCTTTAATTTTCAAACTGAACTACGGAGCTTTTAAAGAGACATGCAAAAGAAAAAATATTTTTATCATTCCCAATAATAATTGTGTTCTAACGCAATCTTTGCCAAGGAATACTATCATATTCTACGGTCGAACACAATCTTAAATTTTCACTCCAAGACTTATCATGTTACAATTACATTTGAATGTCAAAATTATTGCATTCCCTCACAAAGATTGCGTTTGAACATAAAAATTATTGGGTTCCCTCGGAAATATTTCATTTGAATGTAATAATTATTGCATTTCCTCCCAAAGATTGCATTTCAACATACTAATTATTGCTTTCTTTTGCAAAGATTGCATTGAAGACTTTTTTTTGTTAATTCGATGTAAATTGATTGATTTAATAAAAAAAAGTAAATTCTTTTCCTGAAATAAACCAGATTCAAGTAACTGGTAAAATTGGTTAAAAGTACTTTTTATATAAATATTGTACAACGTTATGTAGACTCTACCAAGTAAAACATATCATAAGAAGACAAGAAAAGATTGATTTCTTACATCTCCTTCTTGTTCTCTTTGCTGTGAGAACTGTTTAAAAGAATCCAGAATGATGCCAGCATTGGAGCAGTCATAGACATATATTGAAGGACTCCCCATCCAAGTCTGTAAGTCATAGACTGACAGGGGTATATACTGTGTATAACTCTGAAAAAAAAAATTGAATTGATACCATTCAGTAAAAAAAAAAAAAAAGAAGAGAGGTGAGTACCAAGGATAAAGAATGACTTTAATGCTAAAATATAATATTGTCTCTCTCTCTCTCTACAGTTCACACATTCTACAACACAAATCTAAATGCATGCTATGATAAGGGATAAACTTATATTTTACCTTATTAAAAACCCATATCTCTCCATTCACTGTAGGTCTGGGCACACCATGACCATTATAATGAAAGAGCACTCTCTCATCCTACAAAACAAAGAGAACAACATAAAGTGTAATGTATTCTACTGCTCCAGAACTAAAACCTTGACCGACTGCAACAAATCAAGAACCTTTCTTTCTAATTTGCACACTAATATAGTATACTGCAAAATTTCTCAAGCCTCCATTCATCAAATAACCCACCTTTATACAACATATGCTAACTTTAAATATAATAGGTATTCATTTTGTCTAAACAGAGAATACCAAAATTACCAATTTGAGCATCTAACCCTTAAATAATTAATACAGTAACTGACACAATATTTGAGCTTTATGTAAAAAATAATAATTTTTACCAAAATGTCAAGACAAGCATGGTTAAAAAAATACAGATCATTTGGTCATTTTTTTAATCCACGATTTTGATGAGAAAATTGTAATTAGGCTGAACTAAAAAAAAAAGGGGGGGGGGGGTCATTTTCTGTAACCTTTCACCAAAAAATCTTTATGTTCCTAGATTAAATTTTTATTCAGCAAAAAGGCCAGTTCGTTCCATAACCCCCAACCCCAGGCTATGAGCCTGTCTCTACATTAATGACAGTTAATTTGGCATACTTTGGCATTTCGTCTGAGAGATGTGCACAACTTCTTCACTTCATCTACAGTGGGGTCCAAGCTCTGCTTATACCTGGCCCTGGGTTGCCAGCGTTCATACTGTTTCTGGAGGTTGGTGCCTATGGCTTCCAGAGCCTTCTGCGGACTCATTGAAAGAGGGTCTGAAATGAAAAAGAAAATAGATATCACTTCATTTCCTCATTTAAACGACGGAAAAATGGTCGCCCTGACCAGAATATGAAATAAATGAAATAATAAAATGCTGATATACATTAAATTATCAAAATCCTACAAACTTAAATGCACACATGACAAGTCGAGTAATGATTCATGAGTAGGAAAAATTTGCGTTTTTTCTTAAAATTACATCTGGCTCAATATATATATTTTTATATATATATAAAATGGATATATAACTACCAACTAAACAATTCCACTATGTACCCACCTATCCAGCACTCCAGTCTTGCACAGGGTGTAGTCTTCACAGTGTCTGGTGGGTCCACACCAACATTGAGGCAAAGCACCAAGGCCACACTTACAGTCTTCATCTGGAATGAGATTGAACAGTATATTTTAATAGTAAGGTTGTGAAAACATTATTTTCTAACAATAAAATTCATTAATCGCCAATGTACAGTATATGTGTGTGTGTATGTGTGTGCAGACATGCATTTCTATACAGTGGGGGTAATATAAGTGATAGAGCCCTTAATATATACACTAACAATGGCCTTTAACAGTAAAGACACTAGTCAGTTCAGTTATTTTGAAGTGATCTGTTATTACTTATTTACTTGAATAGCAGACACACTGATCTTAGTCACCACATAACTGAATTTAGAAAAACCTGTAAAATCAAAGACTTAGGGTAGTTCAGAATGAGTAAACTAACCAGGTTAATCTGACTCCAAGGGGACTCGCTGGATGCAATCAGCTAAACAGACTAACACGCCCCCTCTAGGGCTTTCATGTGCCCTTGCCTTCCGAAAACTACCATGATGCACATGTGCACTGTTCACACTCAAATTGAAGTAAAATGGCGCATAGAAAAGAGGCAAATTACTTCTCATCTTAACAGAGACAAAGCAAGGAGTCTGTTTCTGAACTTGTGTTACAGCTACAAAATGTCAGTCGTTCTCATGGAATCACCAGAGAGCAGCCTTTTTGCAATTTCAGTCTCAGCAAAAACTGCAGTGCATCCAGTCAAGCACGCTCAAAAGTTCATTGCCCTTCCTGCTCAAGAAAGCATGTTGGTCTGTTAATCTGACTGCATTCAGCAAGAGTCCCTATGGAGTTAGGTTGACCTGGCTAGGTCAAAGGAACTTATTCTAAATGGCCCCTCACATGTGCAAGAAGCGGGAGGGGGGGGGGGGCATACTACATAAGTACAAAGTTTTGTAGCTGAAGTGCTGATGCCACCTGTAATTCATATCAAAAGTTGTTGTTTTTTTTTTCAATAATTTATGGAATACAGTAGAATAAGTAAGAAAAAGGACTTCTGTTGAAACCTATTAGATCCTAACTTAAATGAACATACATCCTGTTGTTTTAACTTCACTCGAATAAACCACTGTTTCACTTCAAAAAGTTTTGAGGTCCAAATTTCAGTTGTGGGTCCATATAATTTATATACATAATGCTGTAGTAGGCAGCAATTTCATGCGATAAATATCATAAACCAATCACAAAAAACCTTCATCCTTTAAAAACTTTTCCCGCAGAAATGCATCAGTCCTACCCTTTCTTTCATTCTCCATGTCTGCGTCACAGATTTAGTTCCTTCTATCTTCTCCATGTGCCGAGGGCTCGTAAATGCAAGCGTTAGCTGCCAGTCCCCCAACTCGCTATCATTCTCTCTGAAAGTGTCCTCGACACCCTCCCCTGCCATTGTCCAACTATTCAGAAAAAACTAGCTGTTATAACAAGTCTCACGAAATAACACTATTTTGGTCAAGACTTGGAGTAAATATATGTATATAAGGAGCAATATGCACAGCGTAGACCACGAGCTTGGCTTCCATATTTATTTGTGATAATGTTGTTTATTTTCAAAAGGGGTCAGCACTGCGCCGCCCAATGTAGGATGCAATCAAGACAAGATGTACGAAGTCTGTTTTTTTTTCTGAAAACCGCAAAAATTAAAATATTTATGGTATATATAGCTTTGGAATATTTGACGCTCAGGAGCAGAAAGGGATTTAAACTATTGCTAAAATGCATATTGACTGATAAATTAGAATTGCCTGTTCCTTGCTTTTAAGCAAGGGGCCACTAAAATAAGGCACACTTTTTTTGTAACATGTGGTAACAAAGCTAGATATTTTCTGTCTTTACCTTTATGGTAACATTTTTATTGAATAATAAAATGCATACTTTTTATTTTAAAAATATTTAAGACAAGTAATTCATGATATGTTTATATTGAAATTAATGAAGAAGTTCTATTGTTGTTCAAAACTTTGTACAAGCAGACTTCTATTTTGAATCTACAAGGATAACATTTTTATGCATGTTAAATATAAAAAATTATAAATCTTGTATAAAAAACAACTACTGCAGAATTTTTATTATCATTTATATTTACAAATCTTGACATTTAGGCAACATATACTGGTGGAGTTTTTTCTAGGCTACATGTACTGCAGATTCTGAGGATAACATTTCCAGAAAACATTCCAAGCTCAGTGTAGCAAAATCTAGTATAGGGATAGTCATAAATAATAAAATGATAACAATAATTATAATGACAATAATACCATACAATAAAACATCTTTTTATACATAATATACAATTTACATGTCTAAAGTTTGCTGGTCAGGTTAACTTATGGCCACCTAAAACCAACAAATTTGAAATAATAATGTCATAAAGTGATATGATCTTTCTGTCCAGTTTTGTGTTTTTATATTTTTCTTATGCGAAGTTTTATCAAAGGAATTCAGGCCTCTTTGACACAAAAAAGTTTATGCTGTAAAGTGTGTATTCAGTTTATTGTGGCTTGGGGAAGATATTACTTTACTTCCCAACTTCTCACCATACAGCAAGGTGAACCTCATAAGATTGTCAAGTTGAATAAAAAATTCACACTATGAGCACTTCCATAAAGTAATTGCCACATTTCCACCAAAGAACATGTATATCAAGTTCTTCACTTCGTGTGTAATTTCAAAGCCATATCCTTCTCCAACTACCACATGCCAAGAGGGCCCAAACTTTTTATCCATAGTTTCTTTTATCATTTTGGCTGCAGTCTGAAATACAAATAAAAATGCAAGAGTGAATAAAGCATTTCTTGGTCTTTAAAATGTCATCATGATTTCAATATGAAGTAGAATCTATAATTCTGATTCCTAACATCAGAGGTCATTTTCAAAATCACTTTTTTTATTCAAAGAACACTGAACTATAATTAACTTGCTTAAAGAAATGAGAATCTGGAATTGCTAATTCATCATCATTATAACTAGGATTCAATACAATTATGTTGAATCCTAGATTATAATAATCATAAACACTTATCTCAGTATAATGCATCATGCAATATCTGGCAAAAAGAATTAAAAAATGAAATAAAAAAAGTAAATGAAGCCATTAATTCACTGAAGAGCAGATAAAACATTGCACAGGCCTAAACCAACATGAGTGTAACTCTTTCTGGTTAAAGATGCATATTAAGTCAAAATGCCACAAAAACCAACCAACCCCACTGTATAGCATAACTAAGAGAAAATCCAAAGTACACTGTTTCATAATTTCCTGAAAAATGATATCTGAAGGAATATTTTCTTTCTTTTAGTGCAATAAAAACGCCTCAGCATTCTCATTTGAATAAGTATGCAAATTGCACAAAAATTGAAGAAGGTGTAGTTTTAAAGCTATGTTTGCTGAACAAGAGATTAACTTCATTTATGTCTTGGCATGGTGAATTTCTTTTAGTGGTATAAGAAACTAATAGTAGTGGTTTACATGTGTTACTGGAAAGCCATGCTCACTTTCTTTCTCAACACACCTCATTATTTGTGGAAAATTTTTCACATGCTGTGACACACAGCTCCATTGCCTCCACTCTCATCTCATCTTGCATATCCGAGTGCTGAAAGTATTTAACAGTAAAATGACAAATAGTATCATAAATCATAATAAAATGCCATGCAAAGGCATTTCATGTTATTCTAAAAGTTAATCCAGTTATATTCAAGCAACAAATCTAAAAACACTGTTTAAGTTTCTTTTTGAGATTTTTTAGCAATTATTGATCCTATAATAACGCTTTAAAAGTTGAAATGTCTTTGCGGTAAATAGGTATACCAGATAGTATATTTATATTAACTATTTTAGCAATAAAGAGCAATAACTTAACCAGTCACTGTTGAAAGTGAGTGTTGTGTTCCCAACTTATACATATATTTCAGGATAACTTTGCTAAAATAATACTCTATACTTACTCTGATTAACGGATAGGTATGCTTCACAACCTCAACCACCTTTTTTTCCCCTCCTTCTTCTGCCATTATTGAATCAAAAGATGTAATTTGTTCAAAAACTGATAGCAAACTCAAGTCTTGCAACCTGTCTCTAAGGAAAACAACGCATGCGCGTTTTTGCAGCCTCGTTTTCGATTCAAGATGTCAGCGCCCACTTCAAAACCAGGGGGTGGAAACGCGCTACTTATATGATTATGACGAGCCTAACCGTCAGCACCGGATATTAGTTTGTGACCTTGAGGGGCTATTAGGCTTGGTCTTTGCGGCACGCGCGAACAGTAGTCGATCTACCACACCTGGGTCTTTTGTTTTTGACAACTGTTCACTCGTCAAGGAGGTGCTTGTTCAAGACTACAGACTGATATCTACTAGTACTACCAGTGGCTTCATTAGTAACGTTCCCACAATACATGGTTTTCTGTCTGTGCGTACATACCCTGAATTTGGTTAGCCTCACTGACGAGAACAATGGACGTTTCTTACCCCTCTCTAGGATTACCCCTGTCAAAACATGGGAAGTGTGTTTCTTACATTATACGTAACGACCAATTATTTTAGCCACGTACTCATTCGCTATTTGAAGACTAGAAAGAAATATGTTAGCGTAAGTACAAGGCTTCATGTTAACATATTTAACATTCATGTGCTTTGTGTGAAACGTGATTTACAATTAAATTAGTGACTTATTAGTATAATTTTAGTATAATTTCGGTAGGGTCCAAGTACACGACATGATTTATTTTTGGTTTCCTGCTAATGCTAGCGATTTGAGATTCGCTATATATCTAGCCACATATCTGGTATGTACCAACCGTTTAAATATTAAGCCAATTTATTTAGAACGAAAGTTATTTACGTTTTAGTGACGCGATTTGTTTCCCAATTTTTCAAGATGTCATTTTCCAAAAAGAGTCAAAAGTTGACCATGATTTTCAGCCCCTATATACGTATTGCCAACTTGAAATTTATCATGCAACTTTTATAGAATCTGAATATAAGCATATAGTTTAATTAAGTATTCTAGACTTTACCCAAGCAAAGTAACATAAATGTGAAACAGACAACATTGTGAAGGAATACTGCTCAGTAGTCCACAAATACATACAATATGTGAAAAAGCAAGTTGACATGAATATTTTGTTTCTTCTTGCCCAGACTTTAAAAATATTCATTTAATTAATTATGACTTTTTCTCAGGATAATTTTACACTTAGCATCTTGAATCGATGGATTTGGAAAGTTGGCTTACAGTGTAAAAATTATCATAATTTGGTATTCATCTTCTCTACAACTGGATATATATACTTGTAATACCTTTTCCAGATGACCCGTAAACATGGGAGATATGACATTAAATGTCAGGCCATTTGTGCGACAGATTGTAAGAGAGGCATACAATATTCTAGCAAACCCTAAAAATGAAAGTGAATGTGTGGAATGTCTACAGAGAATACAGAGCCTGCTACCTGCGAGAGAGAATGCTCTAGGGAAGTTGAATATTTCACAAGAAGATATAGTAACTGCTCAGGAAGAATTTGCAGAAAATCATTATGTGAGATTTCTTGACTTCCTGGTGAAATGTTTGAGTGTCGATTGGCTCTCTAATTTACCAAAGGATAGGATTCCTGAACTTTTTGACATATTCTTCCTAGATGGAATACCAGAAGAAGCATTTCTGATCCTAACAAGTGCAATACAAACTCTGAGGTAGGGCTTGTTTTTTATGCATGTTCTCATACGTGCATGTTTGGAATTTTCGCAGATGTTATTGACTCTTGTATTAATTTCCTGATGATTACTATTTTAACAGTGAATTATTCAGATATCACAAAGCTGGTAAACCAAATGAACTTTAGACCTGATGTAGCAAAAGTTGAATTTTTAGGGAATTTCACTTTTCCTTTAAACACCAAGACAGACCACATCCAAAACCATTACAAAATTTACAATCCTTACAGGGGCGGATCCAGAGATATTTTCTGACAGTCTTCCAAATTATCTTTGTTAATCCATCCTCAATTTTTGACTGTCTTCTGACAGAAAAAAATAGATAACCGTCAATATAAACTTGAAAATCTGACCGTCTTCTGGAAGACCCAGAAGACGGCCTCAATCCGCCCCTGCCTTAAACCCTTTATTAGGTTTCAAGCTTCAAGTTTTTGAATTACTCTTATGATGTAAACAGAGAAAAGTGAATTTCCAGGTGATAGTAAATATTAGAAATTTATTACATGAAAACAGGTTGATAAATAGTAAAGTTGTCAATGGTTGGGAAAATTGCTGATATTTCTGGTGAAGCTTGTTTCTTGTTGTATAAAAGTCTAATGCGCACTGTACTGAGTATGACTAAAGATATGTACTCATGATACTCAATTTTTATAGCCATGGTTACAAACTAAACAAATGTGCTGTCCTGCTTGAAGAATTCATCAAACAACATAAACTAAGAGTACTTTTGTGGAACCAGTGTGTGATCATCCCAGACAAGAGCAGAACCAAAGAAAACCAACATTCAGTTATGTGGGATGACCTGGTTACCACACTTGCAATGTTGCCAGAGAGGATAATCAATAAAACAAAGCAGGAGACAAGGTAGGTGACACTCTCTCTCTCTCTCTCAGAATTATTAATATTAATCATATCTTGATATTGTGTGTGGTATTTAAAGTGGACTCATATGTATATGTATTATCCCAATTTATCTCAATTTATCCCATTATGTTATTTGCAGTGACATCTTTTACCCCCAGAATTATGGCCCATTTCTTGCAAATGAAATGTTAGTGGTGCTGCACCAGGTGTATAGTGCTGTGAAGAATGGCTCTGATGTTTCTCTGTCTTTCTTCAGTCAGTTGTTAGGGAAATTGTGCATCACTGGTAGTGCAGGTAAGAAAAAACAAATTACGTGTTCTACAACTAAAGAAACATATAATACCAGTATTGTGCAGCTGCAGGGTAGAACAATTATAGCCATTTTAATGAAATAGGACATGCTAGTTCTCAAACAAATAAGTAAGCTTCTGTTTGGAAATTGGAATTGGCAATAACTTAGTTTTTGAAAATATGATTTCTGAAGCATTTAAACCCTCAAGAATTTCATTTCCTCTGTTATAATATTTTTAGATTAGCAAAACAGTAACTTTTTAGACTTTATTATAAATACAGAGCAAGAAAAAAGGAATTCATTAGTACAGTCATGTGTTTGTTTTTCAGACCGGATATGGTCAGTTTTACTTCCCAGTTTTACTACTCTCACCAATCAAGACTTTATCTGGTGTAGAATTTGTGAGCGTCTTGTCTGTGAAGTACCTGACAGGTGTATTGAAAGTACCATTATTCCAGTAGTAAGGGATGCAGCGTGGTGCGTATGTGTTTGATATTTTTTATTGATAACCCCACCCACAAAGATGGACCCAAACCAGTTGAGATCTTAATGGTGGTATCAGACAACCATGAAATTAGTTTCCAAGTGATTCTGCTGCCTTTATTTGATGCATGAGACAGCTGATAGTGTATTTGTTGATGGGCAGCAGTATCACTGCCTTTTTTTTTTTTTTTTTTTTTTTTTTTTTTTTTTTTT